TGAATGACTTAGTGGGTAAAGGTGTTTGCCACCAAGCCTCACAATTTGAGTTTGATCCTTGGGACCCACACATGGTGAAAGGAGAGAACCAGATTCCACATTTAATCCTCTGACAACATATATACTGTGGCATACATGTGCATGTATGCATGCATACAATAAACTGTAATATAATTTATAAGAGCCATAATGCATATGAAGTTCAAGTATTACTAAGTATTCAAAATAGATAATAAAGAAAAAATAAGGTAATAACTGATATATTTGATTAGTAAGATCAATATTATTACAGCAAGTTCATTTTAAATTAATATGAAACAATGACAATCAAAATATTTGATTATACCTAAAAATGAAAAATATACTCTTTTTTTGCAGCCCAGTTTAAGTACCCACATGCATGCATGTGCATGTGGAGAGCACATATTGACCTCAGATGTCTCATCTGTTGCTCTCTGCTTTATTTTTTGAGATCATGTTTCTCATTGAACCTGGAGCTCACTGATTGGCTGCACTGGCTGTCTTGGCCCTAGACCCTCTTATCTCCACCTCCCAATTCTGGGATGCTGGGCACTACATCTTGCTTTAACTTCTCTGTTGTTTTTTTAAGTAAGTGTTGGTCATACAGGCTCAAGTCCCACACTTATGCAACAAGCACTTTACCCACTGAATCATCTGCCCAGCCCCAAGAAATACATTCTTTAACTGAGAGTGAGAGAGAGAATGTGGGCAATGGAGAAAGTTGAGTATACATATTAAACATTCCTAACCTGAAGCATTTTGAGTTCTACCAGAAGTAGAAAATCCCATACCTGGTTTCATATAGCAGGTCTCAGTCACAACACACGTACAGGGGTTATGCATAGGGAGTTCAGTGTGTAAGTGCACTAGCTGTGAAAACACGAGGACCTGAGTTCCTGAGTAGTTAGTAGTTAGGCACTTTTTGTTGTTGTTGTTTTGTTTTGATTCTGGATTTGATTTTGATTTTCCAGGCCTGGGTGCAACTTCAGAAACACCACAGTCAGTGTGATTAGTGATAACAGAGAAAGCACACAGGGGCCACTTGAGTTTGCAATTCAGATGGAGCTGCATGCCCTTTACCTGCCAATAACTGTATCTAGTTTTGCATCCTAGTATTTGTAACATAAGGTACAACCACTTATAGCTTATCTTATATTGGCATGCTTGTAATCAGTTACATAAAGAGGAGGGGAGGGTTGGTTTTCTCTTTTCTGTTTTCAAGTTAGCATGCATAGTAATAGTTTAATTCTGGAATATTCATGCATATATGCCATTCTTGCTTTTAGCAAACATATAAAAACTTTGACTTCTGTTTGTAAACATTTTATAGCACAACTAATCGCAGTTATTATTTGTAATGTCTTGTTTTAGTTCCCTCTCAGTACCATAGTAAATTCTTGTAAGTTAAATGGTTGTAAGGATATGTGTAGTACTGTATAGATTTGTAGGCTGTAAGAAGACGTGGTTCTCACTGAACAAAAATGAAGGTGTTGTCAGGGCCATGTTCCTTTGTGGAGGTCCATTTCCTTGCTCTTTCTCCGTGAAGAGGCTATTCACATTCCTTTACTGAGGGAATTTTCTTTCCCAAAGGCAGCAACAGCAGCAGTGGATTGGCCTTTTGCCAATAGTCATGTCTCAGTGGAGTCGGAAAAAATTCTCCCCTTGTAATGATTCATGTAATTTCACAGGATTTACCCAATAATCTAAACTATTTCTATCTCGGATTCCTTAAGCTTAGTCACATTTGAAAACCCATTTTGCACTGTACTGTAAAACAGCACATTCATGGTTGTGGGGATTAGCCCGAAGGCAATTTTTTTAACCTTTTTTTCATTTAAAAAGTTATTTTTTCATTTTACATACCAAACCCTTTTCCCCCTCCCTCACTTCTCCTGCAGCCCCATCTCCACCCCTTTCCAGGACCCTCATCCACTCCTCAGAGGGATAAGGCTCCTGAAGGCAGTTTTGAGTGGCTGTTTTTCTAATTCAACTTCTGCTTCCAATTGTTTTCTTATTAAGTAAGTGTGTGTTTTTAAAAGTTGATTAAGAGAAAAAGCAGTAAATAAAATGGGTATGAGTATGGCAAAAAGGTGACACTAGCATCAGTAATATTAGGAAGCATTTCAGCTGCAAGTCCCTCTCTCTGCAAGTGGGACTCCAGACCTTGGCCACAGTTACTCAATGCTTCATCCTAAAGAAAAGGTTGATGAGTGGGTAGTCTCCAAAGTCCCTCCAGCTCTATTTAACTAATTCTGTGTAAATGGATATTTATTGCATGAGTCTCCATGTCAGGGCCAAGTACTGTGTCATATGTCTCTAACATGAATGATTCTAAACATTGGTTCTGCCTGAAGATGCTGTCACCCCAGAGCGTGGCTGTCATCTGACATGTCAGCCCTTGGTTGACTGTCTGCATGGTTTGTGCTGTCATCCCACTGGGGTTAGATTCCAGTTTTATTTTCCTATCTGTTTGTTTGGTTTAAATTAAAATAAAATAGCTTGAGAAACTAAAATTCTAGGTCTTTGGCTAGGCAAAGCACTCTGCAGCTGTATCTCCAGCATTCTTTAAAATGACATTTTGAAATACCGAAGCTTGTTGTCAGTTGTTCTCATTCCCCCATTCAGCCAATTAGGAAATTCTGGAAAGGCAGAAGGTGCTCAGCTGGTGAAATAACCTGCACACTGCATCATTTAGCATGTCAACAGAGTGCTAGCTAATTCTTAACATGTACTTCAAGTACATACCTTCTCTACATTGATTTTTCTTAAGGGATAAATACCTGTACTTGAGATACTAGGTTCTTCCAATTTTAATAATTTTTAGTTGGTCTTTTGTTCTTTTAATGAAAACTACATACTGAACAAGTTTTCTTTAATTCCTGTCTTCAGTACAAAAAATTACAAATTTCCATATTCCCTAAAATAACATATAATTTGTATAAAATAACATATATTCTTGAACTGTAATGCTAGAATGTGAAAATTCCATTTTCCTGATTACCTCATACATACTGAAAGTCTGACATCGGCCCTACTGACTCTTCTCCCCAAGTCTTTCCCCGTTGCATCGTTCCAGTTACAGGTGGATGCTTGGTATCGCCCAATAGCACAATATAAGTAAGCTTGGAAGGTTTCCTAGCAACACATTGCTCTGGGAACATGCTGTTTCCCTGAAGAAGATGAAGCCAAGCATCATAAAGTCTCAGCCAGATCAGAAGGATTCACTGAGGGGGTTTAGTGCATTTAAAATAATAATAATTGTAATTATATATAGTGTTAAATACATTTTCATTTTTTCACATTGAAATGAACCTCTTCATATAAACAGTAAGCTTGAGTTTTACATGTCAGAAAAATCTTAGTTAATAGTTTGAAGATTTTTAATGTATAAGCTTACTCTTAAGTTACTGATGAATGGTTTCACTATAGAACTATATATGAAATATTTTCACCTGGGACTGATGCTCAGCCTATTTCTTCGTGGTATAGCAGTCCAACTACAAAAATGTTGAAAGACTTATGATGCACTAGGAATGCTGTGGATTCCACTCCCCTTCACAGTAATCAAGGATTAGTGTTTCTCATGACAAGATTCAATAGTGGCTTTGCAGTTCAGTCACTCTTCTTGACCGGCTGGAAAATATTTCCCCATAATCCAAGTAAAAAAATCTCATAATGTGGTTATTGAATGGGTTGCTCTGTGTATCCGGTTTGGACCATGTTTTGTAAAAATCCCCATTCGTGCTCAACAGCAAATCACTGCAGTATATCACATTGCTCTGATGATGAATACCAAGGTAATCAGAGCAAAAGAATAATGCTGGTATCTGTTTATTTAACAAACTCTCTGGCTAGATTGCAGGGAATTGATGTTATACTCACCCCAGAAAAGTCTAAGTATCTTCATACCAGTAATTCTGTTCTCTTTGGTGCTTCTATTTTCTAAACATCATATAGTGAACTCAGCAGGAAACAACTTGTGGAGGCTTAGGATGAGCCAAATCCTTTTATAATTCAGTTGTGTGCTAAGAGTATAAACATATCTTCCTTGCCTTCACCAATTCCTAGAGAAGACATACATAACATGTTTATAGACTGGGCAGCTAAGTGTCTACTTGTTGAAATATTTCCGTTCATAAGTAGTGGTCATTCAGACACTGGTTTCTTTACTAACAGTTTTGTGACCCACATCCTGTTTTTATTTTTAGAATTCTAATAAATTGAAAGATCGTGGCCTTTAGAGAAAAACGAACAACTATCTTTTTGTTTTGATTGTAATGGGCTCTCACTCTGTAGCCTGGCTAGCCTGGAACTTGCTGTTTGGACCAAAACTTCCTCAGACTCATAGAATTCCACCTGCCTTTGCCTCCTGGTGCTATGCCCAGTTTAACAGCTGTCTTTTGAAGATGACATAATATTGCAAGAAATCGATGACTTGTTTCATTTTTATTTTATTCAGCATAATCACCTCACATTTTCAGGTTTCAGTGTCAGACTTTACACCCTTTTTGCTTATGATATTGTTACTCAGGTTTTTATTTTTATAAAGAATAAATATTCACTTTGCAATATGATAGAGTAAATTACACCTAACAGTAGCTAAAATTAATAATGTTAAATTTATTCACAAAATATATTGTGACATTGGCAGTATGGTAGAACATGAACAAACCAATTATTTTTGTAACATTGGAACAGAGCACATATATTTGCTTATCTACTGCCCATGGCACCTTGTGTCCCAGCAGAGTTGAATGGTTATATCATCAACGGTATGGCTTATAAAGCCTGAGTGTGTACTACCCTTGCCATCACAGGAAAAGTCTACAAGACTATGTTCTAGAATCCGGTTTTTACCCCCATCTTTGAGTTGGAAATGCTACTTTAGAATTCCAGAAACATAATTGGAAGACACTTTAAAAGTGTTTTTTTCCCAATATGAGGTTCTTATCTAATATGTTGTTTTCCAAACACTGCAGGTACCAACCAAAAAGCTGAAGAAATATGAAAAAGAATATCAGGCAATGCGGGAGAATCAGCTGCAACAGGAAGACCCAATGGATAGGTACAAGGTATGAGAGATGCTTGGCACTTACCAGGGCACAGAGAACTTGATTTACCCTAATTCAGCAGGTGTGGTGAGTTCAGTTCCCTCTGCTCCACTTTAAACTTTACAGTGACATGCTGACTATGCCTGTGTCTTCATTTTCGACTGACTCTCAAGTATTCAACCATAATATTTCTTTTCTTTCAGTTTGTATATTTATAGGTAACTCCAGCTGTTGCATGTATACTGGAAATCTTCATGAGAAGCTGAGAGAAAGGGAAAAATGGCTTTCTGCTTTCAAAAATGAGGAAAATAAAACAGAAAATGCCAAAAAGTACTGTCTTAGCTGTGCATGATCACTTCCACAGAGACTCTTAGATGTGACTGTTCCAAGACTGACTCAAGGATGTTGCAAACCTGTCCCTGTCTGTAGCAGCTGTTAAAAATACAAACTCGGAAGGAAAAATAAAAACCACAAAGATGTATCAAGCACAGTAATGTGTTTGTTGCAATGTTTCATTTCCACAAACAAATGACATTTGCATACAGTTTTAGAATCAAAATTATTTCATTTATATCTTCATTAGTTTGGGTAATAAAAAAGTGTGTCATCACAAGAATAGATATTTTCAGTGGTAATTAGGAGCATTGGCCATAGCATGCAGTGTTGGGAAACAGTAATTTGCAATTTATTTTTTAACCTTCTGAAATGTTATTGTCTTCCTTTAGCTGTTTTAATTCTTGAGACTCATACAGATGCATCCCAGTCCCTCCTCACTACATCAATATCCACTGATACCTAAATATCCTTCCAAGGAAATTATTATGGTGACATTCCTAATGGAACCACCCACACTGGAATGACTTTTACTTCCACAACCAGAGTTGCCTCTGTGGTTGGAAAGGTATATGTTGGCCCCAGTCACATTGTGCATCTTGATTTATTTGTTGACCAGAACAGCAATTAATGCTTGCAGAGGAGCATGGTAGACAGAGTCTGTGGGTTTCATAGTCAAACAGACTTGAGTTAAAATCCTGGCTGTCTGTAAAAAGCAATAGGATTTGAAATCATAAATGAGAATTTTTGTCCCTATGTTACTGGTCAGGATTTTGAGTGAGTCATTGAACCTTTCCATGATTTTAAAATACACATGCATATATGATTTTGTGGTAGATTACTGTGAGATTGAAGGCTGTCATATGTTAAGTACTCAGAACATAATTTGTGTTTAATAAATGATTATTGGTTTTTTAAACTCTACTACTAAAAGCATGACTTAATATAAACTTGGTTGGATGTGCATCTCCAGCATTCACTGATCATCTTCATATTTTACAAAACTACTACTACCCGATAGTCATATCATCAGTTAGTATATTTCTTTCCTTCCTCTAGAACTGGCTTGAGAAATGAAAACGATTCTACATATGGTTATGATAGATAACTCTTGCCAGATTATATGCTCATAGAGAAGATTTGATGACTATCCACTGTTATCTTCTCAGTAAATCCAGTTTTAATGCCAGATCTATGATGCAGAAAGGTATGAATGGACTCAAGATTAACTAACTGTTAAAGATCAAAATAAAAGCCCTTTAATTGCTTTGTCATTATAATCATCAGAATACTTGCACCATTATAAATAAAGTGCTTTTAGATAAAAGAGAAGGAAATGATAGCCCAAACTTATGTAATTACATAGGTACAAACTGAGCACAGTTTCATGCATCTAGGTGGCTGTCTGTCAGGAGTTTCAAACCAGCAGCATAGTGAGACCCTAACTAGAAGCACAAATAAAACAGCAGCCTCACAGAGCCTAAAGAGGCTATAAAACAACTGAAATGTAACTGTGTCTTTCATCCTTTTTGTATCAAGAAAGACATGTATAAACACTTATAAACTGTAAGATTATTTGTTTTCAATGATATAAAATCACAGTTTAAAAATAGGTATTTTAGGTTCAAGTGTTGTGGGTTTGGTTTTTTGGTTGGTTGGTTTTATTTTGACAGGGTCTTGCTCTATATTCCAGACTTTATTTAGGCCTGGCCACCACTCCCATCCCATTGTAGCCTTTTATTTGCACATGTCATATACCCTCTATCACTATTTCTTTTTTATGATTATAGTGGCTTCCTAGTATATTATGTAATCAATATTTCTATACCTTTTTAATAATGTGTAGGTATCAGTCCCCATGATCTACTTGGAAAAATTATAATCAAGTTATAATTATATTTCAAGCTAGTAATGGCCAACATACTTCTAGCTATCAAAAAGTGTGGTTCTTCAGGTACACAAAAATCTGGTATAATAAGTAAATTAAGGTTAGCTGGAGAAATGTCTCTTCCAGGTAAAGGCACTTGTTTCCAAGTCTGATGACCTGAGTTCAATTTCCTGGATCCATAAATGAAGGAGAAAACCGACTCCCAAAAGTTGTCCTCTGACCTGTACACTCATACTATGGCATATGTATGCCTACACATATAACACACAAATAAGCAACAGCTGGGTGTGGTGGTGAACGCCTTTGATCTCAGGACTCCAGTGACAGAGGCAAGTGGATCTCTAAGTTCAAGGCCAGTTTTGCCTACAGAGCAAGTTCCAGGACAGCCAGGGTTACACAGAGAAACCCTGTCTCCAAAAAACCAAACACTAAAAAGAGAAAGAGTAAAGAAAAACTCAAACAAATAAGTACATTTAAGGAAGTAAATTATAATTATCTTAATATAACAAAGTATCTTAAAAATATCTCTGACAAGCTGGGCATTGGTGGCGCACGCCTTTAATCCCAGCACTCGGGAGGCAGAGGCAGGCGGATCTCTGTGAGTTCGAGGCCAGCCTGGTCTACAAAGTGAGTTCCAGGACAGCCTCCAAAGCCACAGAGAAACCCTGTCTCGAAAAACCAAAAAAAAAAATCTCTGACATCTTCTGGTCTCTTTGGGAAACAGGCACTTTTCATTTATTAGGAAATGTCTTAAAGACATTGAGAGCTCACACCTGTTCAGGAACAATTCCTCCTTCACCATTGGAACCCATATTGCATAAATTGCCATGTCAACCTCCAGCTTGCCATATGGCAAGAGCGTTGGAAAGTCTGTGGGTACTTAACAAACAAAAACAAAACCCAGAAATGTCATACCATAAACTGTTCCAATTTAGTGCTATTATTTCTCCTATACTTGATGGCATTTTGAAGAAGGGCTTTTACATGAAAGTGAGAGCTAGCATTAAAGATCCAGGAATGCATAGGCTACTCTCAGCAGTCACACTTTCTGCTGTTTCGGTCTAAACTTGTGGTCTAGGGGTATACCTCAGGGGAAAAACACTTGCCTGGCATGTGTGAGACCGTAGGTTCAATGCACAGTAGCATCCCCCCTTCAGCCCTCCCATCTAAGCGTGCTCTTTGTGCCTGTTACATTGTCAGTTTATATTACTGGACTCACTTAATGCAACACTTCAGTCCCAACTGTGAAGGGTGTTGCTATAATTTTAAAATTCTAAGCATGATGCAATGTTCAACGATGGTGGCTATTCATGTAACTGAATTGTATAGTAAAGTAAGGTTTTGTTAAATGTGGTGATGAACAGCTGCAATACCAGCATGTAAGAGACTGAGGCAGAGGGTCAAGAGTTTGAAACCAACTTGGGCCACATAGTGAAACCATGGCTCAACATCCCTCTTCAAAAATCATATGATTTAATGGTATGCAGATTAAATCTATACTCAAACCCAAGACAGATGTTTAAGAATACTGACTTTTAGACCACCCCCTTTCTTATTTCTTTCTTATTTTTGGTATGTGTGTGTATATGTGCACATGCATATACAGGTGCATGCACAAGTATGTGCAAATGCACATGGAGACCAAGTATCAGTGTCTGGTGTCTCCCTCAGTTACTCTCTACCTCGTTTTTGAGATGGGATTTCTCCCAGGGCCTGAAGCTCATTAATTTGGCTACTCAGTGAGCTCACACACAGCTACACTATTTGTTGTCTGTCTGCTTGCTTGCTTGCATGCTTTTGATGTAGATGCTAAAGACCTAAACTTGGGTCTTAATGCTTGCATGCCAAGCATTTTACCAACTGAGCCATTTCCCCAGCTGCTGTATGTTCTGTGAGACAGTTTCTCAGATGTCCTAGGCTGGGCTTGAACTCACTGTGTGGCTGAAGATTACTATGTCAAACTTCTGCGCCCCTTGCCTCTACTTCCTGAGTGCTGAGATTACAGCCGTAAGCCACCATGCCCTGTTTATGTGATGCTGAGAATTGAACTTAAAACCCAGGACTTCTTACACACTAGGCAAGCATTCTACCAACTGAGCTACATCCCCAATTCATCCACCAAGTCACTTGTGTCAAAACACAGTATTTATGCAAAAGTTATACTGGTACAAAGGAGACCTTTTATCAAAAGTTGAGCCAATTAATGACTGCTGAACAATAGAGATGGTGCATTCATTTTTAGTGTTGCTCATTAATTTCTAAGTAGAATACATAGTGTTCCTGTCCATATACATATACACTTAAGAGTAATAATAAGCACAAACATTCCCACTGCTGAATCTGACACCAAATTTGTATTGAGACTCAGGGAACCCTCAAACAACTGCTGTCAGCCTTTAATGGTGTCTTTCTTTTTAACTCTATAAGACTCCGAGAGAGAGAGATGTTTCTGGAGGATGAATATACAGTATTAATTCTGAACATCTTTTATCCTCTCTTAACCTGGTCAAATGTATGTGATATTGTTTTGTGTATCTATTCTGACCTTTTGGTTTGTAAATTTGATTGAGTCCAAATGGAGTGAAATGTGAGCTATAGAAGTGGCTAATGATGTCCCCAGAAAATTTACATTTATGGATAGGTATATCTGTTTAGAGCATTTGAAAAAATTGTAATCAAGCCCACCAAAGTAGATAACAACATTAGAAATCAAGATTCTCTTAGCTACATGAAGGACATGGGTTGCTTTCAATGTGGGGAAAGAATTTCAGTAATTCAATCAATTGGCTAAGCTTCTGGA